ATGCGTTGTCACGAAGGCCGGATATGCATACCGGGAGGATGACAATAATGACATTATTGTTCTTCCTGAGGAGTGTTTGCGAAGACCCCGTAGTCAGCCTCCATGACATGGACCTGTGGGCACAAGTATCACAGAACTTGAACCAGGAACTATGCCGCTCATGGGCCGATGCGCACAATTTGAAGGAACTAAACGGCCTTTGGTGGAAAGATGGAGATCGACTCGTTGTCACCGTGGTGACAACATTAAGAGGGGGGTGATCCATTTTCACCACGACCTTCCCTCCGCTGGCCACCCAGGCATCGCCAACACCTACGCCCTTGCCAAACACAACTACTGGTGGCCCAACATGAAAAAGGACGTTGCAAATTACGTGCAAGGATGTGCCGCATGTCAAGCAAACAAAGTGAACACACACCCAAAATCCCGCCAATACAACCTATTACCCCCACATCGTCGACCCCTTTCCAAACCATGCGATGGACTTCATTGTTAAACTACCTGAGTCACTGGGCTTTGATACCATCCTTACGATCACCGACCATGATTGTTCCAAGGAGCCCTGTTCATACCCTGTAATGAGACAATCACAGCAGAAGGAGTGGCAAGGCTGTACCTGGATCACGTATACCGACACTATGGTCTCCCAAAAAGATCATATCCGACAGAGATACCAGTTTACATCCACGTTCGCCAGAGCCCTGTGTAAAACACTGGACATTGTACAGAACATCTCTACGGCTACCATCCACAGACAGATGGACAGTCTGAACAGACGAACCAATGGTTGGAGCAGTATCTTCGGTTCTGGTGTAATGAACACAAAACGACTGGGCAGAATGGCTGTCAACTGCGGAGTTTGCACACAACTCATGGCCCAACGGAACGACAAAGCACCCCCTTCTCCCTTATCATGGGTTGGACCCCGCGACCACATGGACGGATAAGCCCACCAATGTCCCTTCGGTAACCCACGGATGCGCCAATGGGAAGACTTACGACAATCGCCAATGAAAATCTAGCAAAAGCACAGCAGGCCTACTGCGCAGCCAAGCACGTTCACACCTTATCAACCCAATGACTGGGTCTGGCTCGAGGGAGAAATATTCACATGTCACACCCCACCGCCAAACTAGCGCCTTGACGCCATGGCCCTTCCAGATCACAGGAAGCTGTCAGATGTGTCATACGAACTGCGATTCTGCCCAAATGGAAATTCATCCCGTCTTCCATGCCAAACTTCTAACACCGTACAAAGAGACGTCCCTTCATGGGGAAAACTTCCCAAGACCCTCACCTGACCTTATCGACGGCGAAGCGGAATGGGAAGTGGAGCGCATTCTAGACTCAATGAGAAAAGGCCAAGGGCGCAAGATGCACTACCTAGTCAAGTGGAAGGGATTCCCAGACTCTGACAGTTCGTGGGAGCCAGCCGGAATATCTTCGCCCGGTCCTTATCTCGGAGTTCCATACCCGGCACCAGAAGCGCCCAGGAAGATTAAAAGAACAACCCCAGACCCCAGCGAAACTCCCCAGTACATGCTCCCCCAGCAACGTCCTACCACTACACAATCAATCATGTCTTCCATCGCTGCCAACGCTGCCGTCGACGCCTTCACCGCCACCACCATAGTTGTCGAGAATTTCCCCTCCGCTCATCCCTCTACACGTCCCTCTTCACCTATTGACTACGAGGCTGCCGAAGCTCGAGTCAAGAACCAATCTCCCAACCCCAACAATGACTTCGAACACTGTGAGGAGCCGCATCCAAACGACCTAGTAGGTATGGAATCGGACGACGAGGTCCCGGAGTTCCCCTTCTTCCTGAACAACCCTAACTCCTCCACATACTATCCACTGGAGATCACCATGGGCGATGGAACAGTTGCCATCGCCAAGTACATTTTCTACACCAACGGAGGGATGGATGTCGCTGGGTGCATGAAGAAGGATGGCCCAGTTTATGGAGCTCCGGTCTATCTGGAGGAAAGGTATACAGGCCGTCTGCATCATACGATGACCGATGAGCAGCTGGGGCACTTAGCTGCCGAAGACTCCCGGGCCTTTGCCATCGACAAGGTACTGAGTGACATGCGACTTCCGCGCCTCAAAGCCGAGGTAATGAGGCTGCGGAAGAATCTGACTCTGCGCAACACACTCAACCGACAATATAAAGAACATGCCAAGATGATGGCCCGGTTGACCAGCGGGATGTTCCAAATTGAGCAGGAGCTAGTGGAAATCCGAAAGAGGTTGGAGAAGGGGGACGCATATCAGACGATTGCTGAGAGGTACGCTGACACCTACGCATGACCCCTCCCGCCACGATCACTAGGGGCTGCCCCGACACTGCTGCCAAACCGCTTCGAGATGCCGCGCATGCACGAGAACCCTCGGGGGAGACATGCTGGAGGTGCAACAGTAAGTACCACATCAGCTGGAACTGCCCCCTCAATCGCAAGTGGTGCCAGCACTGTCACAGCAACCTGCACTGGAGCAGGTTCTGTATCTTCCGCCGAGTAGGAGTCGCGCCAACGATCACCAACCCATCTGGATGGTGTGGCAAATGCCTGCGTCACAATGCAGGACATCGGGAGCTGGATTGCCCCATTCACGACTTGTGCCGCCAATGTGGGCAACGCGGCCCTTACGGGTTCCTCCGTACTCACCAGTGCCCCCAAGATGCGGACAAAGAGAATTACACGATGGACAGTTGTAATGTAGCTGATGATTATCTGGAGCTAGTGCAGGATGATGATGGTACGAGTCGTTTCTAGCTGGGTCTGCTAGAACCAGAAGAGGGGGTGATGTTACGAACCCCGTCTTCGCCCGTGTTCTTTTTCTTGCCCAACGACGACCCCTCTCTACCGCCCACACTCCACTACCAGATCACGTCTCCATCGTGGGATCCGTCACATGCCCTTCGTCCTTCCCCGTGACCTTCTTGTTTGTTTATGCTTACTCGTTCTTATCTTCGTTATCGCTTATCTCTTTATCATACGACCGGACACTTACTTAATACCCTATCAGAAGCTAGGCTTTACGCCCTCCGCTTTCAGATATTCGGACCCACTTGACTCCGCGTCCTTATCTCGTAGACGCTCACTGAATTACGTATATAAGTCCACTGTAGCTACCCTGTAGACCTCAGACTTGACTTATTGAATACATCGGTGTTTGTCTTCTGGACTTCCCCTTGAAACCTTTGACTCGACCGTCTCAGTGCTTTTGGCACTTTCCGCTTAACATTGTCACTAGGGAACAGCCCCTTTGACTTTGACTCATCCACCTGAACTCCAAGAAGCCCTATTGGCCTCTTATCCGAATACGCGTACGAAGCTGTCGCACAAGTCGTGCAGAACGTCTCACACCGGACGTAACAAGATTCCAGCTCTCTCATTCCAGCACTAGTCCAAATCCAGTTACCATGAGATCAAAAGATGATCTTGGCAGAGACTTTGTAAGGCCATCTGCCAGCATCTCACCAGTGGGAGTTCACACCAAGTCAATCTGGTGTGATTCTACATACTCCCTAATGGCATGGTACTTTATTGGTATGTGCTTTGATCACCTTCCTGTGACAGGGTTTAATGCAAGATCTACTGCACCCTTATTGTCACAATGCAGTTGTATGAGTGAAGTGACTTCATATCCCAATTCCTGCATAAAGGTCCTATACCATGCAGCCTGATTTGAAGCCTCAGCAAGGCTCATGTACTTGGCTTCTGTGGTGGACTGTGCTACTGTCTTTTGTTTCCTGGAGCACCAACTAATGGCTCCATTAGCTAGGAAAAAGACATAGCCAGAGGTGGAGTGCCAATCCTCCTGATCTCCCCATGAGGAATCTGCATAGCCATGAAGGCCAACTTCACCATTCCCTCCAGAATAGTGCAACTTGTAGTCTTTTGTAGCATTTAAATAAGCTAAGACATACTTTGCTAGTTGCTGTTGAACACAGAAGATGTTCAGTGATGCTTCAGGCATCAGGTGATTAGATTAGCTACTTGTAGATTAGATTAGATACCGGAGTCTCAGACTTTTTACATTATCATTATTACTTTCTTTCTCACATTCCACAGTAGCTGACTGATGCACCATGTAACATGTGATTTCTGTAATGGCCAATGGCCTTTCTCCCTCATGTTTATTGTTTGGACTTTGTCCAGCACTTGTAGACTTATTCCCAGTGCACAGACCATCCCTTGGATTGTATATAAGGGTGTCTGTTTTGTCTTCTACACTTCAGAGTTTTCTTCACCTCTGAAGTGTAAGTCCCTTCTACATTACTCACTACTTATACCTTTGACTAATCGCTCTCTGTAGCTAACTTGTCTCTTAGGTCAGTAGCATAGTAATAGAGTTTTCTTCACCTCTGAAGTCTAACTTGTCTCTTAGCTTAACCCGCTAAACTTTACAGTCAGTATGCTGTGCCTCATGCCTGTTCAACAGTTGCATGTGCTGCTGAGAGGGGTTGGAAGAAAATTGGCTAAGGCATGCAACAGCAAAACTAATGTCAGGTCTGCTTCCAATCTGCACCCAAAGCAGAGACCCCATTAACTGCTGATACCTCTTGATGTCAGAGGTAGATGCCTGGTCTTCAAACTTGACCAAATGAACATCCATGCCAGAGGGTAGAGGAGTATATACTGGGTTGGAATCCCCCATTCCAAACCTCTCAACTATAGAGGATACTAGTGTTTAAAGGTCCAGTTGCCCAAACTGAAAAAGTGACTGAAACCAGACCAGACCCAACCAAATGCAACTGGACCATTGGTTGCGGTTGCCCAGATTCTGTGACTTACCAGTTGCCAGTTGCAAGCTATTACAGAATATTGAAAGATCAATGAAAACCAGTTTAGACCAGTTGCAACCGGTCTTTTCCATATATGGCATAGCACAGGTCCCTGTGAGTAAAGCCATGGGAATACCCAACTTTTGGATCTGAGGGATCTGTGAGAAAATTCTCACACAGATCCAGGCTCCTGAATCTGGAAACATAATGGCCACATTGGGGATTGAACCCAAGACCTCTGGGTATACACTCAGTCTGGTGCTCTAACCATTGAGCCACCCAGCCTCACTAGTAAAGACACACAATATATTGTATATAGGGTTATGAAAAATTGATTTTATCACTTGTGTCTAATTAATTGTGAATGCATTTTTGATCTTATCACTTAGATGTATGTCCTAAGTATCTACTTAATTATGAACACATTTTTGATCTTATCACTTAGATGTATGTCCTAAGTATCTAATTAATTATGAATGCATTTTTGATCTTATCACTTGTATTATCTAAAACAAAGATACTGGTACAGATGTTTCAAAATAGCAGTCTGACATAATTGTGATTACACATAGATAACACAAGTGATAAGATCAAAAATGTGTTCACAATTAATTAGATACTTAGGATATACATCTAAGTGATAAGATCAAAAATGCATTCATAATTAATTAGACACAAGTGATAAAATCAACTTTGCATAACCCTATATATAATATATTGTGTGTCTTTACTAGTGAGGCTGGGTGGCTCAATGGTTAGAGCACTGGACCAAGTGTGTACCCAGAGGTCTTGGGTTCAATCACAGATGTTGCCATTTATTTTCTGGCATGCTCTTTGATAAATGTCATCCTCATTATAATATGATTATTACTACACTACTATAACCCTATTACATAAATTTCATATTGTAGGACCAGTTCAGACCAGTTGTGGACTGGCAACCAGACCAAAAAGGACTGTTTTTTTGGTCTTTAGGCAGTCTGGTCCAGTTATCTGGACATAAGGTGCAACTGGCAACTGCAACCAGTTGCTGGTTGTGTCCCATTATGGTCAAAAAACCAGACCAGACTGGACCTTTAAACACTAGAGGATACATAGGCTGTCTGGTCAATATCCAGTGTCTTGTTAGGACAATCCCTGGTGATGTTAACTCCAAGGTAGGACTGGATTTTGCCAAGATTGGTCATCTCATATCGGCTAGATAGAGATTCCTTCAGCCATTGAATCTTCTTAGTGGAGGACCCAAGTATAGTGATGTCATCAACATATAAAATGACAAAAAGTGAACCATCCCCCTCTTGGTGATGATACACATATACTCCTGCATCAGAGTACATCTGAGTAAAGCTCAGCTCATTGAGAACTGCATGGAATTGCAAGTTCCATGCCCAGGAAGCTTATTTGAGGCCATACAGAGCCTTCTGTAGCCTGCAAACTTTGGACTCTTGTCCAGCAACAATAAAACCAACTGGTTGCTCCATGTAGATCTCCTCATCCAGATCACCATGTATGTAACATTTTGATCCTTTGACTGTCTTTGTTTTTCTTTCTTAAACCACCCAACAAGCTATCTACTGATCATCTGATTACAGAAGGGTTCAACCCCCTCTGTATGAGATCTAGCCCCCATATTTACCTTCTCCATGATGCAAGTATACTTATCTATGATATCATCTGTGACGCAGCTATGATCTCATTTACTATTTACTTGTCCTTACTACTGGCTAGACTCTTTCCTAAATAGCTCCCACATCATGTATTTAAGCCTGCCTAACTAAAGGGAACAGACCTTAAGTCTGTTCTCCTGTGTTCAATTCAGGTGTTCAGAACTCACTGTGAAAACTCCCTTGAACTCTTTAAGTTGCAACTTAAAGAGCCTTCGAACCCCAGAAACTTGTAGCAGGACCATTGCATCGCTGCTCGACTTCATGTCTCACATGTGCCCCTCTTGAGTCAGTGGGCTGGACATTATCTTGATCACCCTCTTGATCTTGATAGCTTGACTGGTCTTGACTGTTGTCTTGGCCTTGATTCTTCCTAATCAGTCTTGATAGGAGAACTTGCTTTGGATCACCCTGGATCCTGAACAACGACTTGACACAGCGCGCACCTAGCTGTGACAATGTAGGAATGCTGATTTGACATCCATTTGGTGGATTTCCCAATCCTCAAGCATGGCCAATGCTAATAACAGTCTTAAAGACTCAAATCTGGCGACTGGGGAGAAAGTTTCATTGAAGTCCACCCCCTCTACTTGGGTGAACCCTTTTGCTACTAGCCTAGCATGAAAGCATCCATCTGCTTTCAATTTAAAGACCCACTTGGACTTTACAGCCTTTCTACCTTCTGGAAGGTCTTCAAGGTGCCACACTTTAAGTTTTTCTAAGGCATCAATTTCATATTGACATGCCTCAAGCCAATCACTGGCATTGTCAGACTCCATTGCTTCTTTAAAAGTGAGAGGATCCCTGTAAGGGGATCCTGCAGCATTAAGTAGATCCATCTGACCAAGTCTGGAAGAACCCTGCACAAATTCTGCATTATCCTTGTTGTAGAAGCAAGGATTCAGGTGATGCTGCCTTCTGGGTTGTGCATCATCCAGGTCTAAATCATCCTGGATAGCCCTGGAGCATTGTGCAGAACATGGACTTGTCCTCTGAAAATTAGGTTGAGGAAGTCTGCCAGCAATCCTTTCAGATTTTCTAATGGCACGGGTTCTTTTGGGAGGGGAGGATGGTTCCATGACTTGTGATGGAGGAGTCTGATATATAGTCTGAGGTTGTGTGGTGTCTACTGTACATGTGGGTGTGGTAGGCTGTGGTGGTAATTGAGGAGGTACAATGTCCTCCTGTTCCTCTTCCAGGTCTTCCTCATCATGAGGAGCCTCAGGAACATGTGTAGCAGTTGCTGGTGGTGGTTGGACATGACCACCAGGTAAAGTAAATGAGCCACCTTCATTAGGCTGCTCTATAGGTTTATCTGCTCTGCTGTCCTTCACAGAGCGGGATGGAAAGGATCCCTCATCAAATGTAACATCTTGTGAAAAGATGAGAGACCAGATACAACTATCCCAAAGTGTATAGCCCTTAGAAGTGGGCTTGTATCCAACAAAGATGGCTTCCCTGGCTTTGGGATCTAATTTTCGCTGCTTGCCCTCTGGAACATGATAATAGGCTTTGCAACCAAAGACCTTAAAATACAAGACATCTGGTTTGTTCCCAACCAGAAGCTCAAGTGGAGTTTTCCACTTATTAGAATGGATGGGAGTTCTGTTATAGATATGACATGCTGTTTCAACAGCACATTCCCAAAAACCAAGAGACAGGCCAGCATTGTGCAGCATGCTAGTGCCTTTTTCCATAATGGTTCTGTTAAATCTCTCAGCCCTTCCATTCTGTTGTGGGCTATATGGCATTGTGAGTTTATGCTCTATGCCAAAATCTTCAAGTGTTGCCTTCAGTGCCTTGTTCACATACTCACCACTATGATCTGTATGAAGACACTTGATTTTATGATTAAATTTATTTTCAAGTAGTGTCTTCAGTTTATTAAAAACTGGTGTAAACAGATCTTTATATTTCATTGGAATGATTAGAGTGTATCTGCTAAAATCATCCAAGAAGGTGGCAAAGTATAGATTCCCTTGTATAGAACTGCACTGCAAGGGACCCATGAGATCACTATGAAGGATTTCAAGGGGGGCTGATGCATTCTTTGAAGATGGGGGAAATGGAAGACAATGGGACTTGCCCATTTCACAGCCATAGCATGGCTTGTCTTCCACTTGGCTATTATTAATTCTGAGGCCTTTAACTGCCTCAGGAGCATATCTCTTTAGTGTAATGCCTGGTGCAGGTGTTTGTCACAATGTGTGATAGGTCGTGTAGCAAAACTACAAGTCAGGTGTGTACTGTCTTTCAAGCACATGGAGTTTGGGTGAGGAGTCAATACCAAGGAGCTAATCCCTTTAGTATCGGTGAGCGGAAGAGTGCCAAAAGCACTGAGACAATTCAAGAGTCAGGTCTTAGAGATCACCCAGAAGGTAATGCACCAAGTCGATTAAGAAGTCGAGTCTAAGGCATACAGGCTATCTAGGCAGGCCTTATATACGTAATAGAAGTTGGAGTCTAAATCAGAGTGTTGTACTTGATGTATCAACGGAATTGTAATGTAACCAAATGGGGGGCAGAGTCAATGTGGGCCAGGTGAGAATATACGTAGACAGATCCGGTATAGTCGCGATTCTGGTGGGAAAATATGTAAGAGTTCTTGTGTAAGGTATGAGTCAAAGATAAGCACAGCCCCAGGTCAAAGATAAGGAACAAATAGGTACAAAGGAAGTCACAACACGGTCAACAAGGGGGCAAACAGGGCCAAAGGACATGTCACATGAAGAGAAAAGGAAACAAGACGATGCAATGGGGTTCGTAACATTACCCCCTCTCTAAGTCCTAGCAGAGCCAGCTAGATTGGCATACCATCATCATCCTGGACCAAGGAGAGGTAATCATCAGCTACGGCATAGTGGTCCACATTGTAGTTCTCCTTTTCTTCATCTGTGGGGCAAACGTGTGTTCGTAGAAAACTGTAGGGCCCCCGCCTCCCACAGCGAAAGCAGCTGTCATAAACATGACAATCAATTTCTCGATGTCTGGCGTTGTGGGAGAGACACTTGCCACACCATCCAGATGGGTTCTGGACAGTGGGGGCCTGTGTAAGTTGTTGGAACAGGCATTGATGACTCCAGTGCGAGGTGCTTTGGCAGTGTCGACATCGCTTCTTGGCCGTGGGACAGCACCAGCTGAGATGGTATTTGCTGCTGCAGTGCCAGCAAAGCTTACCATCAGGGTTTTCGTGGAGGTGTGGCATTTCGAAGCAATGGGGATTAAGCCGAGGTGCGAGGTTGAGGCGGTGATGAGGGAGCGGCCGGGCAAAGATATCTGTGTACCATTTGGATATAATCTGGTACGCCTCTCCTTGCTCTAGTCTCGTCCTAATGCTTGCCAGGTGGTGCTCTATGTCAAAAACTCCACAGTTGATTTTTACCATCTGTCGCTTGTAGTCACGACGCTGCATCTCCAAGTTGTCCCTAAGTGCCTGGAACTTTCGCAACCGCGCGATTTCAGCGGTTAGTTGTGGCATTTGTAAGTCTCGGAGCACCTCATTGATGGCGAAGGCGCGTGGGTCATGGGCCGAAAGGTGCTGTATATGTTCTGGCCCCAGAATGTAATGAAGCCAGTCAATGTTTTTCTCCTCCAAATATACCGGGGCCCCATAGACCGGCC